AATATATATATATTTATATATATATAAAGCTATTTTAATTGATGCAAAAAGAACTTCTCATTAATTGATAGTCTGCTTATTTTGTAAAATTAAGATATTCTCTTCAGGATGAATACTAAGTGGTAAAAAAGCCATTTAAAATTAAAGCACCTAATAGACCATAATAGACCATCTAAAGCCTGGCTTTCAGATTTCCTAAAGAACTCTGCAACGACATGCATACAAATTGTGTTTATCTATTTATATGGAATTAATCAGGATTACCCCTTTCATCTTGGCAATTTAACTGGAGAACTAGATCAATAGCATCCAATCAGTAAAATATGACTGTTGTTTCACAACGCTGATACATTTTCTCTATTAAGAGCTGTTTTGCCTTTTTTTTTTAGCTCAGCAGCCTTAGAGCACTACATTTAACTGTTTGAGGCACACAGTGCAGCACGCTCAGCTCAAGTGCCACCCTCTGAATACCCGGGCCAGCATCCCTCCACCCAGCACCTAGGCTAAGCAAACACATACTGCTGCCGCAGCTGCCGGTTCCCAGCACTGCACTAAGACTTGAGGGGTTGAACACCCAGTTCTTAACATTCCTAGGGAAACACATAAACCTATTCTGTAACCAGCACTGAAGCTGAACGCATGAGAACCTGCGATCTTGGCTCTAAAGCCAGTTGAATTCTAATACTGCAGGCACCCTGCAAACTAGCTAAGCAGAAGTGGAGCAAAGCTTCCCTTCCACCAGCTGACATCTTGACAGCAGTGCAGATTCCTCATGGGAATTGAGCATTATTTAGTTATCAGCATGAATTCAGTTATACCTCCTCAAAGACAATGCAATGTGAAACTTTAAACATCCCACATATATCAAAACTGTATGCTTAGCCGAGGTAGCTATAAACATATTGTTCTACACTTTATACACAAAATTATTTCCATGCCAAACTAGCGATGGTACAAAAATGTGCTTTCAAGCCTTGTGTCACACTCAGGCTGATGCTGCACAAGGTAAAAAATTTTATAACTTGGGAGGAAAAGCTTAGAAACACCTCACATTGCTCTTTGTGTGGCCTTCTTAAATTCCCCCTCCATTTCCATGCTCACTTAATCACCCTTCTCTTGGTGAGGCATCAAAGCTCAGTTCAGTACCTACAGAGTTGTCCAGTTTCTCTGAAAATCTTTGGTGAATGTTAATGTCTTGTCAAACACGAGGACATTTTAGCATCAGGAATAACCAGATACTCTTATTTACATCAATAAAAATCTGTTGCGTGCGATTTCCTTACTTAAATCACACTGATAATTTAGCAGGAGATAACTAAGCCAAGTGATGAGAGTATTTGTTCACTGGTTTTCACTGCGGTAAGTATTAGGCACTGGTGTGTACACACACCTTGCAACTGTGTGCAATTAACATTTAAATTGGTAGTTTATTAGGACAGCTTCATAAGCAAGTCAAATCATTCTCTTAAACAACTCGCACTGCAAAAGCCACTTTGGCACTGACAGCCAGGGATAAGCAGCAAAGCACCACCACAGCCTCAGCAAAAAGCATCTCAAGCCAAGGATTATTAGAACAGTATTTATTCACCCTTGCAAGAAACATGCTCCAGCATCAGACCTTTCCACTGCTGCCTATTTATACGTGCCAGAAGCAGTGGTGTTGGGCTCTGTGCAGCACAGGAGCTCTAAGTGGTCAAATTGCTTTTAGCAGATCACACACATGAGGCTGACATATCCCAGATTTATAGGAAACAGGGACATCAACTGGAGACCTGCATTTAAGTGACTTGGGATGTAACCGAGACCTGAATATTTCTAACCTATACTTACCTTGTGATATATTTAGAAATAATCAAGTGCACACAAAATGGAAACAAATTATGACTTATGCTTCTAAGGAACCCAGACAATCTATGCTCCCATTTTCTTTACTTCTCACACTTCAGAAGCAGCATCAAAGGGGGAATGGCTTGAACCTGCCAGAGGGGAGACTGAGATGAGCTCTTAGGCAGAAGCTCTTCCCTGGGAGGGTGCTGAGGCGCTGGCACAGGGTGCCCAGAGAAGCTGTGGCTGCCCCATCCCTGGCAGTGTTCAAGGCCAGGTTGGACACAGGGGCTTGGAGCAAGCTGCTCTAGTGGAAGGTGTCCCTGCCCGTGGCAGGGGTTGGGAATGGATGAGCTTTAAGGTCCCTTCAACCCAAACCAGTCTGGGATTCTATGATAGAACAGCACACACTGCACCAATGATCTGTAATCATGTGGCTAAACACACCTGTGCAGTTCTGAGTCTCACACAGCTTTCATGCCCAGTTTCTAACTACATTTGATCACGAACTTCCAAAACTGCCAGTTTATCCTGTAACACCAAAATACATGTTGATTCTGAGGACTTCACAAATACCAGGGAGAGACAGAACAAAACTCCCACTTCTGCATAATCTACCTTGCAATCTTAATGGTGTGCATAGGTTATCACAGCTTTCCTATCAAAAATTAAAAGGGGACACCAACTTCAATCATATACTTACTAATGCAAAACTGTACAAATCAAAATTGTGGTGAGTTTTGAACAGTTAACAGGAGGCAGGATTTAGCTTAATTTGGTCCTTCTCTACTACCGATTTTCTTGGGTTTATTCCCTTAGCTAAGTGAAATATTGTCCCCATTCTAACATCAGTAGCTCATTTTACCTTACTTGCAAAGCAACCAACCAGTCTAGAAAACACACTGATGTTTATATGGAAAAATAAATGAAGTTAAACACTTTTTTCCCCAAAAATAATTCAGCTGCTCTCTTTTCTTCTTCAGAGAGCAATGACTGGTTATTTACAGATGGAATCAAATGTCACCCAAACATACACAGCTACATAGAGAGAATATGGGCTTCCAAATCTATCATTTCTGCTCATTTAGGTCCCCTTCACCAACACCAAAATTAACATTTTTTTCTTCTTGGCATTAAAAACCCTACCATTCCAGACACAGCAAGCAGCAGAGCAGTCTGTACAAGCAGAGACACAAGTCGTGCAGCTCAACTCCAGATAGACCTAGACACTGGGAGTTCCTCTGCCTCTCCAGCCCTTTACACCAACCCAACAAGCCTCTTCTGAGCATGCTAAAGAGATCAAGCTCCATACATGACACAGGACAGAAGGCAGCACTGTCACACTTGAATCTCAAACACAAAGGGGATTACCTTCATGCTTGATGTGAAGTATCTGTACCAGACTCCCTCCTCTCCTACAAGCAAAGAAGGACTTGAGTGTCCCTCTCCCACCTGCCAAATATGAAAGTATGTGGAACATCCTCCAATTAAGAAAAAACACGAATATTCAGGTGGAAAACAGTACAAATGCAAATGGAGTTCATCATTATGCATGAAGGATCTTATCCTCATTAAGACTACCAATCAAGAAAGCCTCTCCCTCTAAACAACCAGTACCAACACCCTCAGGGTGAGGGAAAGCCTGGCATCTGGTCCTCACCGGAGAAGAAACAGGGCAAGACCCATTGACGTGTCACAAAACAGAAAGAGGAGAGAGTAGGAGCTCACCAACTCCAACTTCAAAGGCCTCCATAAGGAAGCTTCCGAATTCCCGCTCTGATAAACAGCCACCTTCAACAAAGGTTTTATGTCCCATATTTTAGCATATCACTTCCCCTTTGCTGACTTAATTCCCACATTTGACTTCAACAGCTAGAACCTCACCTATCAATCTGAATTCCTCAACCATAAAGCATTTTTTAACGTAGCAAAGAGCAACCAACCCAATAACTACAGAGAGCTCTCCACAGAGCAGCGAGTACTGAAAAAGACCTCACACATCAAGAAGTAACCTACCTATTACACACATGCAGTAGATCCTTGAGTCCAAGTACAATACTTTCTAAAATACAAAAGAATAACTGCTGCAGACCTGGAAACTGCAAAGCCTGTACAGTGTAACAGAATAAACACATCCCCTGTCAACAGGAGTCAGCGTACCTGGCTGCATCAGCAGTATTCCTAGGTGAGGACTATCACAGACATTACTGTGTGATTTGGAACAAGACAATTACACCATTTAATAGCAGAGTTTAACCAGTCTCACTTTTCCACCAAGATAAAAACCACTCATTTGAGCAGCGTTTTCCAAATCCCACTTGCAACGAGCTTGCTTTTAAACTATCAGGATGCAGCCTACAGGGGAGGATCTGAAAAGAAAACCTAGCATTCAGCATTCAAGAGCAGGTTTTCTTCTCAGCTCTCTACTAGCTTGTTGCTGACAAGGGGAAAAATAACAAGTTACTTTTCAAAGTCAGTATTTTGCAAAATGTGCAGACAACACCACTGCAAACCTGGGGAACCTTCTATGGTTTAACAGCCTTTTACAAGAGCGTGTTCAGAAAGCTTCCTCATGCACACCCGGTGCTTCATTCACCTGGATGAGATTACGTTTTCCGTAGCCTATAAAGAACCGGGATTCAATAACGGATCGTTAGAGGTAACAATGGTAAAAGGTGTGAGAACGACAGCGGCTGAACCGCTGCCAGACCGCTCATTTCTGGGCTATTGCGGCGCAGCTTCCAGTCAAGTTCCGCTCTCTCCACAGGTTGCCCGACACCTCCTCTCCGGTAAGGGGTCCCTACCGGTTCCAGTAACACCGGCCGGGTCTTCCGAGCCCAGAGCGAGCCCGTTGGAGCTCGCACTCGTCCCAGGTGAGCTCCCGGCCGCAGAGCACGGACCGCAGGTGACTCGCTCCAGCGTTCACGCGGCGGTAACCGGGTTCAGGTGCCTCCCGCTCCCCCCCGCTCCGCGCCAGCGGTGACCGCCCGCTTGCGGAGGCAGCAGTGGCCTCTGCTGGTGCGCGCACCGCGCCGAGCCGAGCCCACACCGTCCGACCGCAGCCCCGCGCCGCCGGGACCCGCTCGGACCGGCACCGCCCCCCCACCGCGACGGCTCGCACCCCCTCAGCGGCCCCCCCCCCGCCACCTCTGACAGGGTCTCGCCCAGCCCCTCACCTGTGAGGAGGCTCTGGGAGCCGCTCCGAGCGGCGGCGCCGGCCGGGTCCGGCTGCCCGAGGAGGAGGGCGATCCAGAGGGAGCCGAGGAGCCGCCGGGCTCTCCCCGCCGCCATCGCTCCGCTCCCCGCGCCCGGCAGCCGGGCACCCAGCGCCAGCCCCTCCCCCGGGGGGGGGCTCCTCCTGCCCGCTCCGCCGGCCGGGGCGCGCTCCTCCGCCGAGCCCCTGCGGCACCCCCGAGGCGGCGGCGCTGGGCGGGCGGCGGGGCTCCCTCAGCCGCCGCGCTGAGCAGCGGGGGTGGCGCGGGCGGTCAGTCCATGGCGGGCCGGTCCCGCTCCCAGCGCCGCCGCCGCCTCGCACGGAGCCTGAGGGGCGCCCGCCGCGCGCCCCGCCCCTCACCGCCTCCCGCCCACACCCCCCCTCCCCCGCCCCGCCCCGCCGCGCGCATGCGCCCCGCCGCTCCCCTCCCCTCCCCCCCCCGGCCCCGGCGCGCGCGCCGCTCCCGCCGCCGACCCTCGCGCCAGGTGTGCGCGCGCGCCCGCCGGTGACACCAGCGCGCATGCGCGGAGGGAGGCGGGAGCCGGCGCTGAGGAGCGGGAAGCCCTCGCTCAGCCCCTGAGGGGGCTCCGGGGCGGGCGCGGCTTCGGCTTGGGGTCCGTGCCCGTGCCCGTGCCCGTGCCCGTGCCCGTGCCCGTGCCCCCGGCGGCGGTGCCCACTGCCATGACCGCATGTTGCCCCCGCGTAGCCGGGGCCCTGCGCACATCCGCAGGTGTGGCCGCGCACGGGGCCGCAGAGCGGGGTCCGTGCGGGCGCAGCGGGGCGCGCTGGGCAGTGTGGTGCCGGGGTCCGGCGGCGATCGGGCCTCCGGAGCTGCCGAGAGCAGGGAAACCTCACTGACCCCGGAAAATAACCTGCGGGACCTTGTTCGGTGTGTGTGGGGAGCGGAGGTCCCCGCTGCTCCGCGCTGACTGCGGCCTTCACAACGAGCCTCTTTCTCAACAAGCCAGAGGATAAATAACTGTGAGGAAAAGACCAAACGTACTTCGAAAAGGCAAATGAAATGTTTCCATCCTCCTGGGGGTAATTAGTTTTATACAGCATTTGCCATTCAAATCCAGATCGTTTGAATGCTGCAGCATCACCAGCCGAGTTCACTCTTGCCGCTGGGTGCTGTATCCTGACAGAGGACACAAAAACGGCTATAAACGTACACTCCCCCTTCATTAATCATGTGAAGTGTACCCTGATATTTTTTCCATCTCAGTTTGTTGCCCACTAAATTACATTGTTACTATGTGCCCGCTATCCTCACTCATTTTATTATTGACTAATTGAATTGTCTCTTTCCAGTACATTAATTACATAGGACTCCAGAAGCAGTAACCACGAGATAAGTGAACCCGTGGGGCACTGCAGGAGGTGAAACACGGGTCCATCCGCCAAAATGGGTGATTGTGTTGCAAAATGGTTTAAAACTAGTTTAAAATCACTTGTTTCCGAAAGAAACAGGCCTCTGCCGTGGTAGTGAGACTCCTGCTAAGGCAGAAAGGAAGGATTTCAGGGACATTCACCTTGCTACGCTCCGTGCCTGTGGCGACAGAGTCCTGCTTGGTGCAGATGCCTCTCTATTCCCATGAAATTACCCCTGATCCAGCGGGATTTGCAGTGGGGCAGACGCTGACACATTCTGCAGGGCACCAAACGCAGGTGTGCGTGCACAGACTCCGCGACACGCAGGACTGATGCACCATCGCCGTGAGCCCAAGCTCTCAGCCCATACAGGTGTCTGGAGTGCTTCTCATGGTGAAACTTCATTATTCTGTAGTTCTGCTGTCAGGAAACAGGGGTTTTGTCCTCCACTAAAAATATCCCGGAGCGTTTTCTCAAGGATGAGTAATTACCTCCTCAGAAGGATGTTTGGGTTTCGCCGTATTATGCTTGCCGAGCTCCGTGGATATCTGATATGCCAGAAGGATTACCAGGAAAGAACTGTAATTTATACAGAAGGTTGAAGCACTGATTAAAAGGCAGGGCTGGTGGCATAACTCCTATTAAAGCTGGTTAGCAATTCCCACCATAAAATCCTACCTTCAGTCACTGTTAATAGTGCCAGACTAACCACTGTGCTGAAATTTAAGCATCTTAAATCCACCCCTCGGGTTAAATTATAAACGTTTCTTCTTTCATTCCTTCTGTCTGGGATCTTGGATTCTGAAAACAAGGTCACTTTGTGAGAGGTGTTCCCTCAAAATCCACCATGGAAAACCCGCCTGAGGATCCTCTTTGTGCTCAGTGGGGGGCTTACCAGCACATCACAGCCCAAGCCTGTGGGAGTCAGAGCTGGACCTGCAGTTCCAGTTCCCGACTGCTCCAGACCATGCCAAGCCTCGGAAGGCAGGAAGGGCAAGCAAGGAACCCGTCCTTCCAGTCCTCTTGGGAAACACTGAGCAGAAAGCTCCCTGAATAACATGGGATGGGGACAAGAACTGGCTCCAGGACGAGTAAGTTGGCAGGCACAAAGGGCCTGGAGAAAGACATGTTCTCCACAGCAGTGAAAGGGAACAGGGAGTTGGAAGAGGAAACTGGGTCTGCCTGAGGGAGGGATAAAGCAAAGCCCACATGCAAGAGTCTGGAGGCCAACCTTCTGTGGGAGAAGACTGCCGGGAGAAGGATGTGCAGCCCAGGCGGAGTGGGAGTTATCTGTTTTCTGGCTACGGGCTGAAGGAGAACTTGCTGGGCAAAAGGGATCAGGCAGGAGAGCTGGAGCAGGGCAAGGGAGGAGGATGTGGGACCCTGAGGGGGTGTGTGGGATGCAGCAAGGGTACCAAGAAAAGGGAATTCTGTAGAGATAGCAATGTAGAAATGGAAACATTTCAGGGACAGACTGCAATGGGTCAGACTGAGGAAAGGAGGCAGAGCAGAAAGCTGAGGATTTAGGAACGGGAATGAAGAGCACCTGGAAAACTCCCATGTCTCTACTGGCAGCAAGTGTCTGAAATACACTGAGAACATACCTCATCCTCTCCAAGTGCTGGACCTCATACAAGCTATTCTGTTCCTCATACAGGATAAGTTTCCATGCTGCTGCTGGCCTACATCAATGGCAACACAGGATTAAATTGCTGGGGTTTTTGGTTACCTCTGAATGGGGGAGAAACACACATGTATTAAACCAACAATAATTAGGCTACAAAGTAAAACACTCCCAACTTACGAAGTGACCAGAATAAAGGCTGCCAGTGCTCAGACACTGAACCAAGGTCAAGGTAAGTGCCTGAGCAACTTCCACTTCATGTACTCTAAAACTGAGATGTAGGAATTTCATGTACCCTCTGACTAACTGTGGGGAAGGCGAGTGCAGCACTGCAGCGAGGTGGGTACCTGCTGCTCCAGGAGGTGCCTTCAGCCTCAGAGCTCCTGCAGGATGCACAGCACAGTGCTCAAACCAGAGACTTGACAGGGCTGCACTAATTGTGCAGGCTTCACTTCCGAGGTGCCTGGTTTGACATTTTGAAGTCTGATTTGCAGAAGTGAAGAGCACTTGCAGATACATCAGCAGTGAGTGAGAATTTATTCAACTTTTGACTAAATCAGATGCTTTGCCATGTTATATTTTCTGACAAAACCAGGCCATGAGTATTTCTAATTGGATAGCTAAAATTAAAAGATACATTTTTTAGTATTCTGCCTGTATGCCTAAGTTCCTCATCTGTAAAATAATGCTCACACCAGTTCTCACAACACTACTGAGAAAATGAATTGGAGTTTGTGAAGCACTCGGATACCATAGTGACAAGTACCATGGAAAAACCCAGGAGGAAATGAATAAATCTGTCTTTAGAACAATATTTGACTAGTGTGCAGTAAATAAAGCACAGGCCACACAGTGAACAGTGACGAGAAAATACAATTATTACTTAGTACAGTCTATTGTGTACAATGAGGGAGGCCGGGAACAGCGTGTGATCTAATTACAATTAAGTAGTGGCTCATGATGCAAATGCACAAAGGGGACAAATTAATGTCGGCACTTCTAAACTTTTACATTCTTGATTTAAACAAAACTAGCCACTTTTAGGCTGCAAATGTGTGATATACGGGTACAAATCGTTCCCTCACCCTTTAATAGTCAGAGATACTCTATTTACCTCGTCTACCGCAGCCACTGTTCAGTGGGAAAAGTAGTTTTCTCCTCTTGCAGATCTCTCAGCCTTACAGCCAAGATTTAATGCTGTCATTCACACGTTGACATCCTGCAGTTCTCAAGTCAACATTTGCCTTCTTTGGGAGTGTGTGCATGGTCATTGTGTGGACAAACGGTATTTCCCAGAGAGGGATGCCGAGGAAGACCTTAATGACAGCAACTAAAGTTTTGTCTTGTGCTTGAGGTGCTTTGTGTTTCAAACCAGCTATTGGGTTTGGTGCAGTTCTTATGGAGCAATGACAGCTTCACTGATCTGCTGCGACTCCTCTGTCCTGAGGCTAGAACTGACTCCTGCTGAGATTTGGAGCCACTTCAGAGCTGCTGTAAATTGCATGGGATTATCTGTTGCCCACAAGAAGGGTGATGAAATTAGGATTCAATTGTTCAGTGGTGCTCTGGTTATGGCCAATTTTCTGATCACAATTTCTCTGTTGCTTAGCGGGATGCAAGGTGACACTGAATCATTGCACCAATTTATTGTTATCCAGAGGATTTTCCATCGCTGGGCATCCTCTAGCAGCTGGTTAAGGCAGGTTTGGGATAAGAAGGGGCTGCAGTACAAATAAAGACCTGGCTCATAAAATTGAAGAGTTACAGCTGTGAGATACCTTCAGTTTAACCCGCTGACCTGCTTCCATTGTGTGTGAGGCACCAGCTACATCCACTGATGACTCCTGGCAGTGATGACCTGTCTGATGGTTCCTACATAGGTCTCCATGCCAATTCCAGCACCATAATGCCAGGAAGGTGCATATCTTTCATCATTCAGGAGGGCCTAGATTCTCCTTTTACCATTCATTTTTCACGTTTATTGCTCCTCAACAGATTCAGGGAGGGCCATAGATGGAGCCAGACCTTCCAATAACTAAGGTTAGTTCCCTGGCAAGTTTGAGAGCAAGAAGGAGCTCCTTGGCTTGAGTCAGTGGTGAAGAGAGTCTGAAACACGAGCAGAGCAGTTGGTGTGAAATGCTTTTAAAGGCTTCAGTTGCTGAGCAGAGGGAGCTGTTGAGGTTTAATCCAGTGTTTGTTTATTTAGGGATTTCAGATGTAGATAGAGGGAACCTAGAATCCAAAAGGCAGGGATTACTGCATCCAATCCACACTTGAAGGGAAAAGAATAATTTAATTGTTATCAGCATGTGCATAACAACATGGGCTATGGCTGTCTGGGCATTCAGGAGAGAAATGCAGGTAACCCCAAGGGGAAAGCCTGATGTTATTGCAGTCAACTGGATTTTTCCATCCATTAAACCAGTGTGAGATTTCATCTCTGGAAGCCTGTCATGGGATGACACTGTGCCACAGGCATTCACATTGTTATCAGTGGCACTTAGTTTGGCATTTTTCTCTGTTTTGGTGGCTGTCATATTGCCTTTGTTCTCAGACGAGACCATTACTGGAGACAAACTGATAATGGAGTCTCCACTCCTCTTCCCCACCTTCAATGCCGTTGCTTTTCCAGTGTCCCACTTCTCACTGGGGCACTGTAACCCATCTTTGGCTGCAAGACTTTGTTGCTTATCCAGTAAGAGAAGAGGCAGATGATCCATGCCCTCTCGTGTGAACAGGATCAGCCTCCTCTACAGCTTAAAAAACACATAAGCCAAATGAGGATTCCAGGTGGTGTTTATCCCAAAGCACTTCCAACAATCCCACAGGAATGTTAATTACTGACACCAACAATCTTGTTCTCATTCATATAATGGGAGTGCCTAAAGGTCTTACCTGACATTGGGTCCTATTGTATTAGACGTGGTAGGATCACACACTAAAAGCAAGTCCTTTCCCCAGAGAAGGTCAGCCTGGCAGGAAGGCTGAAGGAGGTCAGAAGCAGGGAGAGGTGGTGTGAGTCACCAAAGGGAGCACAACAGGTCCACACTTCACATCTCCTGAGTCCAGCAGCTGCACTGCTGTGTAAACACTACCCCATTTGCTCCTGGTGCTGGTGCCAGCCAAGGCAGGGAAAGGAGACTGCAGTGGTGTGAGAGCAATTCCAAACGGAGAGTAAAAACACGGGGAGGAGAAAGGCTAAAAACAAGAAGAAGAGAATTGACAGAACATGGAAACAGTCATTGCCTCTGGGCTTGGGGAATCAAGGAAACTATCTCAGACCAGCAACAGAGGGTGCCTGGAAAATATACAGCCCATTGCTCCTGGTTATCCCAGCACACTTTACAGATACCAGTTAAACCTGCCCTCTGCCCAGGATGGCAGGTCACTAGCACAACCCTGTCACTTTGAGTTTTGGTTCCCTGATAGGTACAGCTGATGTCTTGGGTCATATGGCTGGAATCCTTCATTTCCCCTGTTCTTGGCACAGTTGCTCCCTGCTTCACTTCTCCCCACGTGCAGCCCGTACCCCCTGCACTCACACAAGAGGCTAAGGCATGCCTCCCGGTGGCTTCCCGCTGCTATCTCTCCCAGCTCTGGAAGCCATTCACTGCTCAGGGGGCTCATCACCTGCACCTGTGGAGTCCTGCGAGTGGGAAGACAAAGCCATGTTACAAATGGAGCAAGCCTCATGCATCAAATTGAGACTAGACAGATCCCACTGTTGGGTCAGCACCTACAACTCCCACAAGTGCTGTCACTGGTCAGTCATGGCTGGTTTGTATCTCAAGCCATTTACTGCTTTAGGTGTTCAAAACTGAATATACATATTTAATGCTTCTGGGAGCCCTAAGTCACCTCTGCTTTAAATGGCAGAAACTGGAGGCACAGAGTTGTTTTAGAACCTTCTGACAGAATAGCAAACATGAACAAAATAACATTAGTCCAATAATTTAACAGTTCAAAACCAGAGGCACCCATCATTGCTATGATGTAGTGAAGACAGGGACAATGATCTGCAGCAATGGGAAAGAATATGGACACTGGACAACAGGCTGGGACAGGGACAGAGTCCTGTTTGCTGGAATGAGCAATTATCTTGTTCATACACATCTCACAGTCCTTTAGTTTTGGGTCTGCTTCCTCCTGCTGGAATGCTCCTTAAGACCTCATCACCCCTTCAGATGCTGCGAAGGAATTTCCTATAAATATAGTGGGGTTTTCATGGAAAAAAATACTGGACTTCATTTTTACCATGTCACTTGAAAGAGGTACAAGCTCAAAGAGTTGTAGAATGAAACTTCATAGCAGGTCTTCAGGTTCATGCATCAGGTACATTGCAGACCTTACTGTGCAGCTTTAGATGTCAATTTATCCATGCATGAAAGTGCAGAGACCCAATCTGACTCGATCCATTAAATTCAACAGCTCATTACCAATGCCATAAAGCAACAGATCCAAGCCTTCGTTTACACAAGGTCTCTACTCCTCAGGCTCATCAGGTGCCACTGAAGGATGCCTGGAGTCCTGGAGGACTCACCTTTTGCCATAGACCTCCTGCCACACGATCTGTGCACCATGACCACGGTGTCTCTCAAAGCACCTTCCCACCAAGGAGGGCAGGGGGTCCTGCAGCTGTGGCTGCCCCATCCCTGGCAGTGTTCAAGGCCAGGCTGGAGGGGGCTTGGAGCAACCTGCTCTAGTGGAAGGTTGGAATGAGATGGTCTTTAAGGTCCCTTCCAGCCCAAACCGTTCCATGATTCTATGCTGCAGCTCCTGGACATGCTGCAAAAGGCTGGACAAGACCTTGTTTGGGCAGCTATCGGAGGAGAGCATGAAGGTTTCTTTCCAGAGAGCAGCAACAGCAATAAAGCCCTGATTTGCTAAGGAGAGAAACAAGCTCTGTTCCCAGCAGCTTCTAGTCTGAAAGCAGAGCTATGCCTTGAATCATTCTGCATACATTTAAGTTTTAAATCATTTCGAGCCTCCTGCAAATTTTAAGCATCTCCAAGAACAGGGCAAATCTGCCAGCATTTCTTCCTAGTTTTCAGCTCTGCAGCTTCTTACCCCCATTAGTGCTGCCTGAATCTGTCTCAGATGCGGGACTGAGCAATTTGGAGACACGAGGACAGTTTAGAAAGAAAAGAATCCATTTTGTGCTGAGCAAGATACTGGGCTGACAGCTCCAGCAGATAAAACGTGGGCAGCCTGCAAACAGGTGAAACGCTTCGCTCCTGAAGCTGTCAATCTGGCGCTTCGCACTGGCATTAATCTGGGCTTTTTTGTTTAAACATCCCTTTAGGGCAACAGTTCTGGAAGAACACAACCGTTCTCCCATTTTTCCATGCTCCTCCCAGGGGCCTGGCGATCAAAGCCATGAGAGCAAAACATGCAGCTCCAATGGGATACAAAATGCGGGCACTCATGGCATGAACCCTTGTATCTTCCCCGCGGGCACGCTGTGCGTTAAGCACATCAGGAGCTATATGTCTGCTGTCACAAGGTGGTTTTACCACATATTTTTATTTCCTCAGTACCTGAATGGCAGCTTTAGAAATCAAATTAGGGTCAGAATGCTCCGGTGCAGCCCCTGCCTGAGCCACTAAATCAGACCAATTGAAACAACAAATATGCCTGAATAGCAGTTCCTTAAGAAAACGTTGCCCTTACAACACATCGCTTTTACTTCTAGCGTAACCTGACTGGGCTTATTGACTGCCTGGCATTTCTGCTGCTGCCTTTGAGATGTATTGATTCTAGGAAATATGAAATGAGTTTCAAAGAGGTCAGAATGTGACTTTGTGTCTAAGTGAGACACAAAGATGTTCAGAGATACTAAACAGAGCAGGAGACTAAAGGATGCTCACCCACAGCGATAGACTGGTGCTTTTTGAACATCACTGCCCACTGAGTAGCCTGGCCCAGGAAGAGGTGAAGGGGCTAAGCCACCTCCTATAGAACAGGTAGGATCACTACCAAAAACTGGAAAGAATTCAGACGCTTGGAATAAATTTCCATTGCTAAAAATGGGGAATTGGTAGAGAAAGAGGTTAAGGCTATCAGAAGTACCCTTCATTTCTGAAGCACAGAAGTGTATGTATTCAATAAGAAATCCATTTCTCAAAAAGACTCATTCCATGTTCAGAAACCTACAGCGAGGGCTGAGGAGAAATTGAACTTTATGTCTGTATCATCTGGAATGAACATTTACATTCTATGGAGAAAAGAAATGACATTTTCCGGACGCGAGCCCTCTGAGGCAGGTAACAAATAAGATATATTTGACAGGGGAAGAAAAGCTTTCTCACAAATCTGGTGTTTCTCTAGCCCCAAATGGCTGCAGTCTGCCTCTAACACCCTCTTTCAAGCTGATGCTTGCTTCATGACCTGTTAGTGTTGTCTAAACCACCTTTCAAGTGGTGGTCCAGCTTTCTCCATTTGATCTCTTGCCCACTTACCAGGTTTCAGGTAGGACTCATCTGCTCCTTCTGGGATTGCCATCTCAGCACTACTAGTAGCAAGGCACTACTTCTCACACTGCCAAGTCATTCAGGAAGCACTGCTTTTGGAGAATGCAGCATAGGGGATGACATGGAACAGTATTAGTGCCATGCTTCTGATGTTTACTGCTTCTACTGCTGTTCAAGTGTGTTTTTACTAAAGAGCACAGCTCATGTATCATGCTTAGCTTAAAAAGAAAGCTGTAAAAAAGTACCAGTGAAATACACCAGGATGAAACCCTCATGTAACACTCCTATTCACTTATTCCCTTTCATTTTCTTAAAGTATTCCATCCAGTTTCTGGCAAATGCAGCAGACCATGGAGTACGGTGCCTCCAGAAACCTCCCCAAACAGCACATGCTGCGCACAGGCTCCTGCTGCAGGAAGTGAGCAGTGAGAACCCTGACACACAACAGGGCAAATACTTCACCAAGAGCAATTTCCAAACCAGAAAGATGAATCATGGACTCATGGAATGGTTTGGGTTGAAGGTACCTTAAAGCTCACCCAGCTCCAACCCCTGCCATGGGCAGTGACACCTTCCACTAGAGCAGCTTGCTCCAAGCTCCTGTGTCCAACCTGGCCTTGAACACTGCCAGGGATGGGGCAGCCACAGCTTCTCTGGGCACCCTGTGCCAGCGCCTCAGCACCCTCACAGGGAAGAGCTTCTGCCTAAGAGCTCATCTCAGTCTCCCCTTTGGCAGGTTCAAGCCATTCCCCTTGGCCTGTCCCTACAGGCCCTTGTCCAAAGCCCCTCTCCAGGTTTCCTGCAGCTCCTTAAGGCAATGGAGCTGCTCTCAGGTCTCCTCTTCAGGAGCCTTCTCTTCTCCAGGCTGACCCAGCCCAGCTCTCTCAGTCTTGTGCCGTCAGTTCTGACACACAAAAGGTTTTACTAATTTCCAGTTGATGCAGGTGAATGACACCAATCATGTTAGATGTGACAAGGCAAAGAAACCTTGCACTTCACCTAAGAATGGCAGCTATAATATATGTAAAGACTGCCTAAGCACAGAAAGCTCTGATTCTCTCACCTGAATATCTTATTTGCAGTGCTGAAAGGGTAACTGAACTCACCTAAGAGATCCTGACTGGGTTTTGGAACCATCCACACAGAAGTAGATTTTTTTTACTCACAATTAACATGGGCATCAATGAGCCCAGTACTGGATCTGCTGCACCACAGGAGCCCACCTTTCTGGCTGTGGATCTGTTAAAGCAGCACTGAAAAGTCACCACATCTATACTAATGCTGACTGAGAGATCCAGTAACCCAAACGTCTACAGGGGAAGGGAGCAGGACCTGTAGTGTTCAGAAGCAGCCTGCAAAAACCTGCACAATGGGCCTGAAGAGTGGGATGAGCAACAGAAACCAGTCCCCACCTTTAGGGAAAGGGTAATGCATGCGATGACATCAGGAACACGGGAATGCCAACGCAGCCATCAGCATGGACAAAATCCCCCTTCCGAGCACTTCCTGGGCCTGGGGAGGGTGGGTGACACCGCAGCAGCACATGAGCAAACCACAGCCTGGAAGAGAAATAGACATTAACTCATTAGAACTTGCATACCAAGTTCTGCAGTGCTGGGAAATCAGTTAACCCCCCTGAAGAGGAACAACCAGACTCTTGCGATTGGGCAGTGAGTAAAACTGCTCTAAGTTGCAGTGGGGATCTTCTCTCTGAGCAAAGGAATCCACTGTTAAGTGTTTGGGGACACAACAGACAGCAAAATGGTCTGAAATATTAGCAGCATAGATGCTTGTTGAAAAGCCTTGTTCATAGGAGAACACCTTCACCAGGGCACCTGAACAGGAGAATGAGGATTTAACAATACCAGGAAGCCTGCACAGGGTGCTGTGTAAACCTGAATGGCGCTCACACATGCGAAAGCTCATCTCCTGACGGAATTTCTGCATGGAGTACGGCAGGCACAGAGGAAGGGGTGAAAAGGCTCAGAGCTCTGTGAAAGATAAGAGGAACTGCAGAACGGAGAGCACGTGGACATCCACGGGTCACCAGAGAAAGGGGAAAAATGCGGCCCTTTGTGATCAGAGTCAAGCACAAATAAATACATAGGGAAAGAACGTAGGTCTGTTTCCTGCAAAGAGTAAAGTTTGGGGGGAAGCGGCCTCTGCCAAATAGTTCTCTCTGCTGGAGGCATCAGCAGGGTTCTGACAGGCACGGTAGGAAAACAGACCATACGTTTGTGCGTATTCAACAGCCCCTATGGGAGACATCATTTTCTCAGGCTGCCGTCTGGGTTGTGTTTGGCACTTGAACTGTTTCATGGCCTTTGATAGCCCAGGGTCTGTGTAGATGATGTTTTGTTCTGAGGGAAGAGAGCAGAAGCACATGACCACAAGCTCTCATCAGCTTTGGAAAGACCCAGACCAGCAGAGCTTCAGCAACAAAACTCCTTTGTAATGGAAATGCCATACCTAGGCATGAAATTAGAAAAGCACTGTGTACGAGCAGATCAGAATAAGATTGAAGTCATCCCCAGCATTCCTGCCCCAGCAGAAAAGGATGCAAAGTTAAGATACCATTGACTAGTGAACTGTCTACCCAAATCAGCTGCCCAAGCAATCAGTGACGGATCTTTACGTGCAAGAGTAGACCTGACATATAGATCTTCATGGGGAAACTGAAAGGAGCTTATCAATAGCCCCAGATAAACAGAATTAAGGGCCAAACTGGACATAGACCTTTACAGACCGGTGCTGAGTGAGCTGATTTCTCTGCATGCACTCTCACTACTGCTTATGACCCTAGTCAGGCATGAAGATTAATGCCTACACAGAAAGCATTTGCTTTCCACTTTTTGTACAGCACTTGTAGGCTGGTTTTGTCTGGTTTCAATTAGAGGTAGTATTAGTCTTTACTTACAGTCTTAGCTGCGTGTAGTCTTGCTCTCCCTGTCCCGTTCCAGAGGAGCCTGAAGTGGCGCCTTGCCATCCTCACTGCTATGATGGTGAGGAAGTGAGTTCCATAATAAGACTCCTGTTTACACCCCAAATTGACCAGCTCTATTCATGTCAGAGGGGTTGCCCCATTTGCAGTGCAGTCTGAAACCCTCTGGTGCTCCAGACTCCAGAGGGGCAATGACTGTTTCTCAGAGTGAACTCACAAATCACTGGGTAGGGGGAGATGTGGGAAAGTGATGCAAATTCCCTTTGCTCCCCGGAACAGCAGCGTAAGTGGCCTCACAGGAGCATCAGGAGGAGTTTCAAAGCTGCCCTTGAACGTGGGATGCTTCCTGGGGCATCACAAATGCCAAAGAAACTGTGTTTAAGAGTGTTGCTAATTACAACTGCTGCGTGTGCCATGGGGACACCAAAGGGTAGAGCCTCTGCCATGGAGGCAGACGCTCAGGAAGCACAGTACACTGAACAGCCCATCAACTGCACCGGGCAGGTCGGTGTGTAAGTAGTGAGTCTCTGAAGATGTGTACACTGAGACAACACACAGAGGGCAAGCATCTTCCTCTCTGACTCCACTCACTTTCTTATTTAGGCTTCTGTAGTCAGAAATTCATTATACAGTAATAGGGAAAAGCTGGCTCCCTATGGAGAAATACTGCTGCAGAGCCCAAGTGGATCATGTATCTTTTCCATCAAGGCCTACAGAATAGTCGGAAGGGTGTCCCAACCATTGCTATAGTCCCATAGAAGCCAAGGGCAATGTTCTAGGGATCATCTGGCCTTTTCTAGGCAAGGTGAAAAGACGAGATTTTACTTTGAAGCCTGGGCTGCACACGGTGGTTTGCAATCATGCACAGGGCATCTATCTACCAGCACAGGTGGGCAGGCTGGTGGAACAGCTACTGCCCTCCTCCAGCACACCAGATCATGCTGATCCATATATTTTAGGGAGAAACACCAGCCAGTCTGTCAGGAGCTCAGCAGAAAAGGTCTCTATGGGAAGACATCCCCCAGGTGCCTGTGAGAAGGCCCAGGAATAAGTTAAACACTGCAAGTTAGGACTCTGCCGTGCACAGGAGCTCCCGCAGCAGGGAAAGCCAAGAGCAGGTTTTTCAGGACTCCTTTTTGGACTAAGGAGCCTAAAAGTTGTGCACATTTCTCTTCAGATGTCTCCTTGGGTCTAGCCTTAAATCTCCCTTTATTCCAGTGGAGAACAACTGTACTCCCAGGGGGTTTCACAGTGCCAATGTAAACCCCAGTAATCCCTCTTCTAGACCTAGGGCTGGAAAGTACTGCACAAAAAAGGCTTCTGCCTTAGAAATAAAATGAAGGTAAATGAGGACATCAAGTAACAGAGCCAGCATGAAGGCAGTGAGGGGGTTCAGAGGAATGTAATAAGCTTGAGAAAGGTAAACCTTGGGATGGAGGGCTGCAGCTGATCTCGGGCTCCTCAGCACAGCAGACACGGCTGCCTCGGTGCTGCACAGCTCCACGTGCTGCCCCTCATCGAGGTCTCTTGTTGGCTCCAGTTTCGCCATGGAAGCTGAAGAGCATTAAACTCTTCCAGAGGACAAGCACAAGAATCAGCAGACATCCTTCCCCTCAATAAATAGAACCTTTTCTAGCAGAGGCTGTTCTGTGAGTTATTGCAGAGCACATAATAGTCCCTGTATTTGCCTGCACAATCCCTGCGCTCCCCAGATCTAACTCATTACCGTGCTTAGCGAAGCGCTTTGAACTGCCTCGAGCATGAAAAGCACCATACAAGAACAAATTTTATTCTCATATAAAGGTATTAAGGCAAGTTAGAGGCATTATTGACGCACATGATATGTTATAATTGCCAAATGTTCACAAAGGCAACATCCAGCCTTTGTGCGGGGAGCTGGAGGGTACCTGTGTGCACAGTGTCTGAGTGCTTCCTCTGCTCTGCCCAACAGCGCCCCTGGCTCCCGCAGACAAGCTCAGCTTCCTAAACGCAGCCCTTTGGCTTGGGAGAGGAAGCAGGGCTCTGCTTGACCTGGTTTTTAAAGGGAGACACAAGCTCCTAACACTAACTGCTGGTTAGTACCTGGCTTCATCCAGCTGCACCTCAGTCTTTCCTGACCCATCATTCCCACCCAGTTATTCCTGTCACCATCACAACCCAACCCAACACCCCCAGGGATCACAACTGCATCCCTGCACCTCAACTGAAACATGTGCCACCCTCTTCACAGCCCAGCTCAGCTGTGACCTGCAGCACCCTCTGTTGTTCCCTTCCTGGAGTTCACCCAGCTTGTCCTCCCTACCAGGACTATTCCTTTCCTATTCCATTTACTGTCTTCCACATCAGGGCACCAGCATCAGGCTCTCCTCATTCCCTGCTCACCAGTCTTGCCAAATGTGTTTATTTCCACAACATAATCTATGAAGTGGAGGGATGCTGCAGGAGCAGAGCTGCAATAGCCGAAGCCCTTCTTACTAGGAAGAGGTAGAACTCAAACAGCTTAGAGTGATGACCCAGAACTCCTGGAAAAGAAATAATATTTGGAAGTGTCAAGTCATTCATCTACATGGAAGATGTAGAGTTGTGCTTAAGGATGCTATCAGAGGAACCAGGAATGTTCTTGGGGCTGGAGGGTAATGGGCAGAACAGTTTTTGCAGGCCCCCACAAAATGTTGGGGTGTCCCAAGCCAATGTCACGTCCCTGAAGAGTCAGCACTTTCACTGCTGTAATTACCAGCAACCAAGATAAATCATTGAATATTAATGTCAATATTGAGAAATAACAAAACCTAACTCAGAAACCACAATGGTATGTGCCCACAGGCGCACGTGCATGCTTGTGTGTGCAGTCTGCCCAATGGACTCATGAGATCATCCAAGATCCTGGCTCACAAGTTACATTCAACCCCTGAAACTTGCCACCGTCTTGAATTCCTTCGGTAAAAATGAAGTCTCGTGGCCCACTTGAAAGCTCTAACAGCTTCTTTTGGGCTAGAAAACACCGCTTTTCAGGAGGTTTGAGCTCAGTTTCTCTTCTGGACTAATGGGTATCTGGAAAGGTGCAAAAATCACACCATCATTCTGGAGAGAAAACTGTCCCCTCATGACATGCTCAGTGCCCATAAACTTGCTTTCAAGACTCACAGTCCTTCATGCAGCCCTGAGTCTTAAAGACAAGAGCAAGTGATGGAAAGAGTGAGCAGAAACCTCTGCAAACCTGAAGGGCTCAAAGCTTCCCGTACGCTCCGGCATGTGCAGTACCTGTGGTCGGGCACACGGGAAACGATGTCCCAGAGCCTTCTCTTCAAGTGTGCACTGAAAGGGCTTTTACATTTCTCAGTCTGGTTCCATTTCCTTGGCTGCCCCCTCCACCCTGCCCACAAAGTGCTGCTGGGACAGGAGGAATCTCTTATTTCCATGCCAAAGATTGGGAGTTTTCTTCCTCCACACAATGACGAAGTCCTCAATTGAAGTTTAACCCAACAGGTCCCTGCTGTGTGTCCAGCGGCCGGGCCACCACTGCTTTAGTTGAGCATGAATCCAGTGGAGAGAGCTTGGCGTCAGTAAGTAGGAAGAGACGTGGCCTGGTTACGTGTTCACACTGCTTCATTTTTAGATGTTTCCTGATGGGAGAAATTGAGAGCCAAAGATGTTCCACCAAAGCGGCTCATCCCATTACTGGAACACTTTGAAAATGTGATATGGATCAGTCTAACACCTCAAGCTTCTCCCAGAACAGAGCATGAGTGTGCAGACACTGAGCTTTTGGGAAGCATCAGGAACCAGACAGATTAGCTTTGTGGCTTTTGTTAGTTGGTTCTGACTTGCTTTTGACTACGCGCCTGCTCACTATTAACACCCCATGGTGCAGTTGTGTTTGACATCCCTATAACTAACCCTGATTTATATGGCCTTGCACAATTCCTCCTCCTTTGTGTGGCCTTGAGAACAGCATAACAGGCATGCTAAAATGGGAACCATTTAAATCAGTCACCACTAAAGGAGTCTACCTTCAAAGAGCGTTATCCTTGTGAATCAAACTTCACTCTTCCTGAATAATCAGGGGTTTTAATGAAATGCAGCTTTTGGGGTTTGGCAGAAGCAGACAAATACTGATTCCAGAGAGCAGACTCAAAGGTGAAAGCATGACAGATCCACAGAGCTGCAGAATAAAAGAGAGAAAAGATCCAGAGAAATCTCAAATGTGCCATATTCATCACTCAATCATTCAATTACAAGTATCTGAGCAGCTCTTTGGTGAAAGGAATTCAAGCTCCCTATTACAGCACGTCGCTGAACATCTCTGATGTCTTTCCACATGGCAATGCAGGAGATGAGCTGTGCTTCTTTCTATACCCATTGCCCACAGAAAATCTGCAAACCATCATCATTGATGCTCCCCAATCCGGGATCCATGTCATAACACACCCTGCCTCCAAAGCCTGTCCACTGCTTAACGCACTGCTTGCTTTAGGAACGTGTTTTTCTTTGGTGCAACATGAACACTTATGATTATGTGCTGCATGTGCCAAATAGGCAGGGCTGGGTGGGGAGCGTGAAGAGAGGCTCCAGCTCACAAATGACGGTACCTATTTTTGGCTCCCGAAGCCAAGCTGTGCTGCTCCCGTTCCGTTCTGACAGCCCAACATGTTGCATTCTCGATGTCACCAATCCCGAGCAGCCGTGGACAGTTTGGGGTGCTGGGTTCAGCATCCTGGGGAGGAAAAGGCAAGCAGCAATTTCTCTACGCCTGTGGCAGGAAGAAGCTGCATCACGGTAACTGTTACTCCATCACCAACATGTAGATGAGCTTATTTTTCAGCCTGAACGCACCATTACTGCCCAGGAGACAGGTACCTGGCTCCTCCCTCTCTGACAGCCCTCCACCACAATGCCCATGACGCCCCCTTCTCCGAAACATCCACCTCTTGGGCGCCCATGGTGGTTACATACACTGCAGGACGAAATGCCCTGCTTGCTGCCTGGGACACATGGAATATGATCTAACTGGAGTAAAATCACATCCCGAGTCTGTTCTATGTAATTACAGTGTTTACTGGGGGTTGCACTGTATTTTCACAGCACCCCAAGGGCTGAAGCCTCCACTCCCCTTACAGACCTGCCCCACAAGCACTTTACCACACATCTCCTTTGCAGGAAGAGCTCTCCGTGTGCTTTGAGCCTGCAACCAGTGTAAGACAGGGGTAGCTCAGCCCTCCCTCTGCAGCCAACAATAAGTGACAACGTATTCACGGAGCAGAACCCTCAGACAGCACAAGGCAGAGTCACCGCTCACACCCCCGGCTGCAGGTACCCCCAGGGGGTTGTCCAGGCTTCCCCTCCTCGTGGCTTTGCAGGGAGGCAGCACAGGGCAGCCCTGGGGCAGAGACAGCCAAATCCTCTCATGAAACTGAACCTGGGCACCTCTCCTCACGGCTGAAGGGGCTCCCAGCCGTGCCACCTTCTCCCTCCTGCCACCAGCAGCCTGCTCCTGGCTGGCACCACCCACTCGGTCCTGCTCATACAAGTGCTGGAGTGCTGAGACAAATCCAAGTGGGAAGCTGTTTGGTGGATGGCCCCTCAGGTATGTGCATGGGCAGGGGAGATGAGGGACAGGGTGAAGCAGAGCAGCTTACCTTGGTACTGCTGCCAGGAGGAGCTGCTGCAGAACGGATCCTAACTTGGGCAGCTCCAATGGGCAGCTGGGGCCACACCAGCACTTTCTGGGAGCGCAGGAAGCCGAAACACAGCCTTGTAGGTGTTCTGCTCACCTACCCACAGGAACAGCTTTTCTTCCTTCAGCTGCTTTCCTTCATTACATTCTCCACCTGTACCCTGCTATCAAGTAATTAGAAACACATACACAGCAGTTTCTCGAAACACCAGAGCATTTATCTTTAGCAGTGTAACAGTGAAAGCAAATGACACTGTGTAGACACTGTTAAAAGAAAGGGTTCACTATCTTTCGAGAGTTACATTCTCCACCAAGGAACAAACCAATTTGAGCAATCACATTTTGCAGCCATGTAACTCTTTACCTTCCCCTCTCCCAAGCATCTGAAGCATGTGAATGAATCCTTTACATGAGAATAGCTTAAACCAGCTCTCAGGGAGAACACGAGGCCTTGTACTGAGCTGAAAAGATGCAGAACGAGTCCAAACCTGCAGGAACAGCCCCCAGTCTGGGGCAGGGGGTGGCAGAGCTCACCTCCACCCAGGACCAGCCCCATCCTCAGTTACTGCCAACCATAGGACCTGGGAGCGCTGCAGCTCCATTCTTTAAAGCAAAGGTTGGCTGGAGGAGCACAGCACCTTTTCATTTAATGCCAGTGGAGTTTTGGGATCCACAGGGAAAGGAACCCTGGAAGCGGAGTGTGTTTTCATGATCAGTGTCTAGAGTGGTACAAAATGTCTGCACTGCTTCTTTCCATTCCAGCCTGCGCTTTGAAGTCATGGTAACAGCTTTTGGATTCGAATCCTCTGATGAGACTCCTTGATTTATTAGGTAAAACATCTGGAAAAAATGAAGCCTTGTGGCAGTGTAAATCCTCCAGAAGGAGCAGAGAGAGGCTCCATCCCAGCAGTGCCTCTGTCAAAAGCACGGAAACCTGAGCCCCCACCACTCGCTTTGGGCTGCTCCGAGGTTGAAAAAGCTCCAGCTTGGACTGGGCCTGTTCATGTTTCACCCAGTGGCCCAGAAACCAGCACCCAGACTTGGCCGATGCTGCGGGCAGAGAGAGGAACATCAGCTACAGCCCTGGGTGCTGGGAGCACGCCACAGCTAACGGAATGATCTTCATACGCTCTTGCAGCTGGAATGTTGGTAGCAGTTCTGCCCTTGACATTAATAAGGCAGCTCCTGTTATAAATCACTGCAGTCTGTGGGAGCAGGATGACATGTAAAATACCTGGCGCTCTCCCGCGAAGGAAAAGGCAACAGCGCAATACAGACAGGCGAGAAATGAGGAGCTCAGGTCACCCCCGTGTGCTGCTGTGATGAGCAGGGGGCTCAGGGTGACTTTCCCGTTCCCCGATTACAGCACTCGATGTGAGTAAAGGAATGTTGGTGGCAGGAGCAGAAAATGAGCAGCTCTGGATAGCGCTGATGTGGAAGGAATGAAACCTGCCCAGGCAGACGGGCATTTTCTGAAGCAGATTTCTTCCTGTATTTGGAATCAGCCCTGAAGCGAGGTAAAACAAAAGAGAGGGGAGAAGGGAAGAGCAGAACAGCTTGCTGTGCTCTGGAGCTCCTGCGAATGGCTTCCTCTGTGAAATGTGTGTGTGGGGACACGTGTGTGAGCATGTGTGTGAGCATCTGCGCCTAGCTGTGTAAGGTGTTGGTTAGATGAGGGCAAAGCTGGCAATCGCAGTGGTCCTTGACTCACAATTATTTACTCTCTGCCTCCTCCATCCAACAACCCAGGATCCAAATTTCAGAGCTCACGCTCCGGGGAAGTCCCCCGAGAGCCATCTTTTGACAGTTATTTTCCCATCTAAATCCCCCTTCCAGCAATGTGAATAATGCAGTTCAAACGCTAGCCCGAGTGCCAGTGTTCCTGCTGGAGGGGGCGCGGGACCAGCAGAGGGGCGGGGGGGGGGAGGTTGGGAAGTATTTTTTTAATCAGATAAATTATTGCTGGGAAACCAGCCACTTCTCTCCATTCAATTTATACTCTATGGGGAATCCATCTAATACCCCTTCTCTTGGTGTGAAGCAGGACCAGCGAGATGCTGTATCAAACCAGGGAGGAATGCAAAAGACGAGATGGAGTGCAGGGAATGAACGGGCAACGGGAGGAAGGGGCTGTGCAAAAGCCCGTGGTCAAGAAGAAGAGCCAAGGAGACGTGCACACACCTCGTCAGGCGAGGGAGGAAAATGTCTCTGCTCGTTTCTCCCCTGGCAAACTGGAGCAGGCTGAGGCCGGTGTGGACTAAGAGTGGGGCGGCCTGGCTCTGAGCTTCAGGGCTGAGTGAAGAGCTCCGCACCCGCAGGGAGGTGGAGCAGGTCCCGGGCTGCAGGGATGGAGGCTCCTATCCGGGGCTGCAGGGATGGAGGATCCCGTCCGGGGCTGCAGGGATGGAGAATCCTATCAGGGGCTGCAGGGATGGAGGATCCTATGTGGGGCTGCAGGGATGGAGGCTCCTATCCGGGGCTGCAGGGATGGAGGCTCCTATCCGGGGCTGCAGGGATGGAGGATCCTATCCGGGGCTGCAGCGATGGAGGATCCTATCCGGGGCTGCAGGGATGGAGAATCCTATCTGGGGCTGCAGGGATGGAGGATCCTATCTGGGGCTGCAGGGATGGAGGATCCTATCTGGGGCTGCAGGGATGGAGGATCCTATCTGGGGCTGCAGGGATGGAGGATCCTATCTGGGGCTGCAGGGATGGAGGATCCTACCCGGGGCTGCAGGGATGGAGGATCCTATCCGGGGCTGCAGGGATGGAGGATCCTATCCGGGACTGCAGGGATGGAGGATCCTATCTGGGGCTGCAGGGATGGAGGATCCTATCTGGGGCTGCAGGGATGGAGGATCCTATCTGGGGCTGCAGGGATGGAGGCTCCTATCCGGGGCTGCAGGGATGGGGGATCCTATCCGGGGCTGCAGGGATGGAGGATCCTATCCGGGGCTGCAGGGATGGAGGCTCCTATCCGGGGCTGCAGGGATGGAGGATCCTATCCGGGGCTGCAGGGATGGAGGATCCTACCCGGGGCTGCAGGGATGGAGGATCCTATCCGGGGCTGCAGGGATGGAGGATCCTATGTGGGGCTGCAGGGATGGAGGATCCTATGTGGGGCTGCAGGGATGGAGGATCCTATCTGGGGCTGCAGGGATGGAGGATCCTATCCGGGGCTGCAGGGATGGAGGCTCCTATGTGGGGCTGCAGGGATGGAGGATCCTATGTGGGGCTGCAGGGATGGAGGCTCCTATCCGGGGCTGCAGGGATGGAGGATCCTATCAGGCTCTGCTGGAGTTTGCAAAATGAGTTCAGTGATTTCACAGCAGCTCCCAGTGGAACTGGGAACGTGCCAGTTCACCTCTGCAGTGTAACTGGAACCAGGTAATGCATTGCTGGCCGCCTGGGAGAAGCCAAGGACTGGGAACAGAGGCAGCTCCCAGCACACTGGGTTTCAGACATGCTTGCAGAGCAGCACATCTGGGAAGCCTGCCTTGTTGTCTGGGCATACCTTTTATTCCTGTTTGGATGACACGAACACCTTAAGGCTCCAACCAAGACAAGGCTCCATTGTGCTGAGGCGCTGTATGTACATGCAGTGAGAGACGGGCCGTGTCCTGAGGAGCACGGAGCCCAACCAGGAGGTAATTAGAGGTGGGGAGTGGAAGCAGGTGCACAGAGAAGGGAAATGATTTCCCCGAGCTCACCGCGTGAGTCAGTGTCCAAACCAAAACCAGAGCCTGGTGCCCGATACCTGGCCACAGCACTTGCTTCTCTTCAGGTGCCAACGCCAGTTCAGTCATGAGCTTCCTGCTCCAGCATTTCTCAGCGAATATAAATCATAGAATCACAGAACCCCAGCCTGGGTTGGGTTGAAGGGACCTCAAAGCTCCTCCAGCTCCAACCCCTGCCACGGGCAGGGACCCCTTCCACTAGAGCAGCTTGCTCCAAGCCCCTGTGTCCAACCTGGCCTTGAACACTGCCAGGGATGGGGCAGCCACAGCTTCTCTGGGCACCCTGTGCCAGCGCCTCAGCACCCTCACAGGGAAGAGCTTCTGCCTTAGATCTAACCTGAACTTCCCCTGTTTCAGTTTGAACCCATCACCCCTTGTCCTATCACTGCAGTCCCTGATGAAGTGTCCCTTTCTGGCAGCCAAATGCATAGAGAGTGTTTAAAGAATTACAGGGTAAGGGCACCTCAGTGGGTGTCATGGCACACTTCTGTGGCCTTTTCTTCTTCTCTATAACAAAGAATCAGAAGTGTTAGTGGGAGCGCTGGCAGCAAGCTCAGGAGACAAGGAAACTTCTGAGGAAGATCTCCCAGATTCCAGGAGTGGCTGCAGTACAAATAACGGTGGAAAATAAAGGCGCTGAGTCAGCAGGAGGCAAAGGGGAACAAGTAGAAGAGTCACTCTATGCTGGAAAGTTGGAAGGAGAATATGACAGGCAAAGCAGAAAAGAGAAATAAGGCAACAGGAATTCATTCAGATGTGTTATAGTCTGCTTTTTGGATAGCTTCCCTCTGCTGAGCGCCCATTCTCAGGCAATCAGGCCTTACCCAGAGTCCAGTTATGTGGGGCCCAAACCAAACAGGAACAATTCCTTTACTTCAGAGCTCTTTTCCATCTGCTGTAACAGGCGATGGGATTTCACCAGCCCCCCTGATTCGCTGTCTGCAGGTCCGTGTGAGGGTGTCATTGCTCATACTGCAGCTCCCTTTCCCAGGCGCAATTAATGCTTAAAGCAACACTGAGCTAAACACTTCATTAAAGCCCCCTCTGGCCCCCCGACCAGCAAACCTGCTTGTCAGACCTCGATTAACCTCCGAGGTTATTGCCTGCAATTACAGATCTCCCTAGAACTGCCAGAAGGACTTGTGCCAGAACAAAGTGAGCCCCCAGTCCTGCCGGTGTCAGCTTCTGGGACACCTTACCCTGTAGTGGTTCTTGTCCAGCTGAGACATCCCCAGGAAAAGAACTTTGGGGCTTTTTCTCCCTTTCTAAGAACAAAGAAAGTGTTATCCCTTCCCCCTCAGCACTCCTTCTTGTGTTTTCAGTCCCCGGACATGGGTACTTGAGGGTGCTGAGGCACTGGAATGGGTTGCCCAAGGAAGCTGTGAATGCTCCATCCCTGGCAGTGTTCAAGGCCAGGCTGGACAAAGCCTTGGGTGCTATGGTTTAGTATGAGGTGTCCCTGCCCATGGCAGGGGTTGGAACTGGATGATCTTAAGGTCCTTTCCAACCCAAACCATTCTGTGATTCTATGATGAAAGCACTGCCCATTTCAGAGGCTTTATCCAGGACTCTGGTGGAAGGTAAATTCAAGCTGCTCTGCACATTTACTTGTCCCTAAATGTCTTTGGTTTTTTGAATCTGTTCCAGATTCTAACGATTTTACAGTAGGACTCAGGGACTCAGTGATCTCCCCCCTCCCAATCCCCAAGAACAGCAGAAACACAAACTCTTCAACCCTAGATCAAGCACAGACCTCTCTGAAATCCCAATGCGGAACCATCTTTCCTAGGTCTCTCTCCTCCGTGACCCTTGCACTCCCCAGGATCTGCAGCAGTTTCCCTGTCCAAGGAAAACACTGACATGAATCAGGACCTCTTCTTGACAGGCACAAGGAGGAGGGGCTGCTCTTTGCCAGCAGGTACACATTAAATTGCTGTTGAAGCCTCCCCAGCGTGTCTGGAGACTCACCGGCCTGTGGGAGTTTTGGGCTGCTCCATCCTTCCACGTTGGTTATCATCTTTCATTTCTTTTACACCTGGTAACATGTGGTTTCGAGAACTCTCTCTGGGCTCAATAAACGATGGAAGTGAACCTCCTTACTCTGGTTCCTTTCTTTCCCTGCCCCTCTTCATTCATTTCCTGGCTCTAAGGCTGAGCAACCAAATCCCCCTGGAATCTCTGGGAAGCGAAGGGTGGCTGGAAATGGCAGGAAAAAGGGTCCTGTCCAAGCGTGAAAGAAAAATAAGGAGCCCCCAGCCCTCAAGTAGGGGAAGACACCTGCCTGCCTGCTTCAGGCTTAGGCTGCATTACACACAGGGTAAGGAAAGGGCAAGAAAACATGGACTTTACGTAGTCAGGGATCTGTGTCCCTGCAGGAAACAGTTCATGTGCTGCTTCTGGGGGACAGCCAGATGTACTCAGAGGTTTGCCAGTGCCTGCTCTGAAGGCCCTGATGGTCCATGGCAGCACCAGGCTTTTCTGCCCATCTCCCTTGTGACTGTCCCCGTGGTTCACCTGCAGGAGAGGACGTGGCAGGATGGACAGACGGGGTCCCTGCATGTCCCACTAGAGGCTGATGCACCTTGGAGCTCCTCACCATCACTGCACTCATGGAACACTGCAGCAACAAGCGCACCCCTGAGAAACCTAAGCTGGGTTATTAGGGAATTAGATCCCACAGATCATCTCCTCCCCCTGCCATTCCCTGCAGTATTCCTGCTCACTTCCAAGCCCTGCATGTGCTTGGCTGGACAAAGAGCAGTGCACGCTCATTTGGAGCTGCCCGGCCAGCTGGCTGCTGCTGCTACCCCAAACGGATGCGTGCTGGAGGTTCCTTCCATCAGTGGGGACTCCTTTGGGTTTCTCTTTCCTCTGTCCAGCTGCAAAGCTTCAGGTAACTTGTGGGAATTCTGTTCTCAACGAAGCCACTGATTGACTGACAGTCTGAGAAGTAATTCACGGGGAGGGAAGGATGGCAGATAAACAGCAGGACGCCTCTTCAGAAACCAAGACTAAAATGCTAGAGCAAAAGGGCTGCTGGAAATCTTGTTTTCCTTGCCCACAAATTCCCTGATGTGGAAAACGTACCCCCCTTTCCCATATTCTCCAGTTTGCTACGAGTTCAAACAGGAACAGCTTCTGCTGGGAGCAGCTGATTGTGCCAGGACGTGATAGCTGCTGCTCCTGTGCTGTCCTACTCCCCTCAGATCATCCCATTTCAGCCCAGAAAATGAAAGTTGCTCGGTGTTTACTAACCACTCTGCTCCCTTCCACTCCGCAAGGAGCTCTGTGGGAGAGCCGAGTCTCTGCTGTTTACAAGCCCATCTGCTTCGGTTGCTTTTCCTCACCTGACGTTAGAACGCTCCGTTCAGGAGATTGCTCATGGTTGTGTTGGGAGCTGCACAAAACAGATGAGGATTTCAGGTGAGCAGCAGGAAAAGAACACCACAAATCTGTTCTCACCTAAAGAGCCCTAAAAGCAATGATTTAAGAAGAAAGAGAACAAGACGAAGGAGGAAATGCCAAAAAGCCAGCAATGGTTTCAGCAGCACAATCATTCTAAGGAGTTTCTCTTATATTTTTTATGAGAATTCCAACATTTAAAACCAGAAGGGAAAAAGCACAAGTGCTCCAATGCCTGTTTCCCTGAACTCACACTGATCCCTCTGCTCTCGGCATTTTAAAGTCTCTCTAGGCAGAGCTGCAAGACCGTGCTTTGCCCAAACCTGTACTGCTGCTGTAAGCTGTTTAGTCGCGAGCTCTCCATGTAATTTAACTCAATGCCACAGGTTTCCAGGAGTAATAGGGGGACTCCTGGGAGCCAGAAAGAGATTGGAAATGTCTGTCTGGCCCTAAAGCCTTCGGGGGGGGGGGTTCCAGAGACTACCCCTTAACAGCAGAGCTGCTGTCCTTACAGCCTGAGCCTGCAAGCGTGGCTGCAGGAGGGACCGGAGGGGCTCTGCATAATGCAGTACGCTGCGAGCCAGCTAAAGCACCCATGCGGCGTGCCTGGGCAGGCTGCAGCAGACATGCACAGCCTCTGCAGGGGGCAGCTGCAGGGGTGGGAGGCAGCCAGGCTGAGGAGCACGCTGTGCTCACAGGCACTGCTGTGGATGGAGGGATACCTGTGAGAGGCACTGCTCCGTGGGGCCACAGCCGCCGCAGAGAGGCTGCGCTCCTACACGGATGGGCAGACTGCGACAACCACTCCTTGCTCCCAGCCATGGGCTTCCAGGCCCTGTGCTGCTGCCTGGCTTGGAAGAGAAAACAAATTGCTGCTGTCCCTGGGCACTTCTGAGAGAGAGTGGAAATTAGAGGAGCCCAAAGAAAGGAGCTGAACTGCCCCCAACCGGAAAACAGAGGTGGCAAAAGTATCTTTGCTCCAGCCCTTTCTGTGTTTCACACCTAGAGTTGTTAACTCAGGCCAAGAACCAACTAAAGAAAGAAGCAGCACTTGGAATGGTCTCAGTGCCGTGGCGTTAGCTTTAGGAGGGTCAGCCTGTCCAGAGACATGTGACATCCATGTGGCAGAGCAGATGTGTGGCTTTACAGAACAAGCACTAGAAGTTCACACCTCATGTATGGACGAAGGCTGAGAAGGAGCAGTAAGTACTGGAAGGTGGAGAGAATCAGATGCTGGTTTGGGTTGGAAGGGACCTCAAAGCTCCTCCAGCTCCAACCCCTGCCACGGGCAGGGACACCTTCCACTAGAGCAGCTTGCTCCAAGCCCCTGTGTCCAACCTGGCCTTGAACACTGCCAGGGATGGGGCAGCCACAGCTTCTCTGGGCACCCTGTGCCAGTGCCTCAGCACCCTCACACGGAAGAGCTTCTGCCTAAGAGCTCATCTCAGTCTCCCCTCTGGCAGGTTCAAGCCATTCCCCTTGGCCTGTCCCTACATCCCTTGTCCCAAGCCCCTCTCCAGGTTTCCTGCAGCCCCTTCAGGCACTGGAGCTGCTCTCAGGTCTCCCCTTCAGGAGCCTTCTCTTGTCCAGGCTGCCCCAGCCCAGCTCTCTCAGCCTGGCTCCAGAGCAGAGCTGCTCCAGCCCTCGCAGCATCTCCATGGCCTCCTCTGGCCTCGCTCCAACAGCTCCACGACCCTCTTGTGTTGGAAGCCCCAGTGCAAGACCTCACAGAGGAACAGCCCTACTACAGGTTCCCAACTGTCCCTCTGTGCCATCAGATCACAGTGTATCTGCTGCACCAGCTCACAGCTGGAAATTCTCCTGGTTTAGGGAGGAACACGGTGTCCCACTTGGCAGCTTCCCAGCCCTGCCCTACCAGCTCAGCACAACTTGCATGGATCACGTCCCAGGTCTTGAGGCTATTGAGAAAGGAGGCTGCAAGCTCCTGGGAAGGAAGGAGCTTGCCAAGGCAGGCACTTGGATGTGCAACCTGTGGAGAATATTTCCTTCCCTCTGCAACACCCAAAGGTGTGTGGGTTTGGACTGCTTTTGTTTGAGGACTTCACAGTAACGGAGCCCAGTGCACAGTGAGATCTGAAGACCTCAGACCTGTTGAGCGGTACCAAATCTAATGCTGGTCCAGCTTCCCATGGCTGACACCCTGCATGTTCCCAGGCTCCAGCAGAGCTCAGCTATTCGGTGGGCACTAAAGCAAACTTTGATTTGCAAGGACACTCACACTGGTGCTAGCAAGGTGCTGGGATGTTCTGAGAACATCATGCTAAGTGGGTGAGGGAAGAGAAACTGAAATTAGACTTTGCTGTCTCTTTAACTCCTGAGGAATCTCATCTTCCAGCCAAACTGCTCTTTGGAATAGCTACGTAGAACAGAAAACAATGCCTTTAGCAATGCTGCAGCTCTCAGGGCCTGAATCAGGACCTCTCAACCACACATGCTCTTCATTAATGCTAATCCAGGAGCAGCAATGATCCGAGAGCAAAACCTCCGCAAGGATTAAGTACACAGATACTGCCTCATCAGGCTGTGATGCAGGGAGGGATCCAACCTGAACTCCCTCCAAAACACGCAGTCAGATCTGGTTGCTCTGGTTTGGACCCAACCCTGGCAAGACGGAAAGCGGGACCTTGAAAGAGAGGAGCAGAAAAAGAAGGGAAAACAGTCCCTTCCCTCTGCATCCCTCCCGGGACAGCAGCGCTCCTCTCCTGGGCTGGAAGCACGCGCTCTGAGCTTGCCTCCCTCGCCTCCTCAGCTTGCATTGTTCACTTTCCTGCAAATTGTTTCCACATTCTGCTTAAATAACGCCAGTGCCAGCGAGGGGGAGGGAGAAGGGCTGGGAGGAAACCAAACGTCTTTGTTACTTCTGCAAGAGAAGGTGGAGGATGCAGTTGGGAGCGGGAGCCTCGGCAGCCTGAGCAGAGAGTTGCCATCGTGCTTGTGTTCAGACCTGGAGGAAGAAGAGTAAACAAGGGGGAGATTATATGTAATTATAGACAATCATGTTGCCGGGGGTAAACAGGAATCAAAAGCATGGAGGCACCGAAGGCTGGCACGTCCCCAAGCGCAGAACAGAAGCCAGCCGGCGAGAAGCAATGCGGCTGGAAAGCGCTTCCCTTTGGGCCTGTTTTCAGTTAGCTCAGGGGCTGGGGTTTTTTTCCCCTCTCTTCTTTGGCTTGAGGCATTCCCCCATCAAGAGAGGAGCCCATCCAATGGGAAACAGAAGCCAAACCGAAGTCAGCAGAATCCTTGTCTGCAATGTGAAGAGATTGCTCCATGAGAAACGTCAGAAACATTTGGAAAAGGTGGAGCCTGCTGAGGTCAGCAAAACCAGCGACAGGACTTGGGGAACAAAAATAGCTTTAGAAACGCTCCAGAAGCTGAGCCTGTGTGTCCTGCAGGCAGATTGCCCCTGGCAGGACGCAGAGGGTGACCGGCAGCTGAGGGTGGCACATGGGTCCTGCTCACAGCTCCCGTGGATCCAGGGCTGTGATGAAAAGGTGTCAGGGCCCCCTGGCTGCCTCATCTCACCTGTGTGCGTGGAGCTGAGCCCATCCATTTGGCACAGCCCTCTTCTCGATCCCCTGCAAATCAGGGGCAAAAGGATGAGCTGTCAGCCCCGGACACCACCACCCTCCTGCCCGTCTGCGTCTGCAGGGGGAATCAGGGGGGACCGGAGCGTGATGGGACCCTTCTTCCACCGCCTGCCTGCGCGTGAAGGGGAGGCAGCGGAGGCCTTGAGCGTGGTGGGACAGCGATTCCCTCCCCTGCCTTGGCTGGGGAGCAGCGGGGCAAGCAGTGGGGTGCCCGGTTTGTTGTGCCTGATGCCAGCACCCTGCTCCCCCAGCAGAGCAGCCCCAGCTTTGCTTTTGCAAGCAGAATGATAGAATGGTTTGGGTTGAAAAGCACCTTAAGCTCATCCAGTTCCAACCCCCTGCCATGGGAAAGGGAAGCAAAAAAGGCAGCAGGGATGGCTCTGGCCACAGTCAGACGAGCAGGCTCTGGTGCTACAAGTGCTGTGGCTGAGGCCAGGGATGCTGAGCTGCCTCTGCACAGCTCTCCCACAGTGTTTAACAGGGCCCTGCAAAGGGACAAGGAGGGGGTAATGCTGAAGAAACAAAGCCAAGAAGCACAACTGAAACAAAGGCAGATGGCCGGGGGGGGGGGGCTGCGTTAAAGAAGGACTTGGGGGGATTTAAAAATGAAAAAGAAAAACCCTCGTTAGCCCTTCTCCTGCTTCCCTTGGAGGCTCTGGAGAGTTAGAGGGAAGGCGACATGTGAGGAACAAAGGATGGCAACCTCAGATGGTGACAGAAGGAGGATTGTTTAGCGAGGCAGTGTAAAAAGCTCTCTCCCAGGCACTATTTTAAATCCAAATAGCTTACAGCCCGCTGAATTCTTAAGCCATTTGCCTGATCTCTCAGCTGTTCTTCATTGAGAACACAAGCACATATTTGAAAGCAAAAAACAGAGAGGAAAAATAAGCATCTATCAGAAATAACCAAACCTGTGTTTAGAATCTGTGGACCAGTGTAGGAAGCACGGCGTCCTCACAGCCTCTTCCACCTTCTCCCTTTCACTAGAGATGCTCTAAATGTCCTTTCTCCTAAGGAGAGAAAATGGATTTGTAAAGGGAAATGCCGTTTCTCTACGAGAACAGAGTCACAGTTTGGTGAATGATATTACCAGGTTATCTGGGGCCAGGATTTTGTGCATTGTCTCTCAATTCATCACTGTGGGCATTCTTCCTCCAGCATTTCTTTTACTGACAAATCCTTTGCCAGTGGTGGGTACCTGTGTGTATGCCTTTGGGTACCGCAGATAAGGTTGGTTTGAGCGTGAACCAGGAGTCCCATTCCTCTTGAACCTGCTCAAAATCAGAAAGAGCAGAGAGAATGGAACTGGGAAGAAGACAGTAATGGGTCAAAAAAAGGCATTTGGGGTCCAAGTCTTATCTGCTCTCAATTTACATTGACTCTGTGAGGTAATGCTTAAGCAATCTACTCCCACGCCAGCTTAGAGCAGCTACTTCCAACCATCCCAGCCGCTGGTGTGCAGAACCAAGAATAAAAGCAAGATCATGGAAGGATATCAAAAATGAGCCAACGGTGTCCTTCAAACACGTGCCCATGTGCCAGGCGGGAGAGAAACAGTGTCAGAAGTTCACCAGTGTGGTGAGAGAGGACAAGGGAGCCGGGCTGACAGGTCTGGACACATTATATCCGCTTTACTTTCTCTTTCATTTATACATGACCAAGAAGGGCGAAGGGTACAGAGCTCTTCCCCCGACGCTCTGTCAAAAATGAAATGAGGTTACTGGTCTCCTGCAAGCACAGATGAACTTCAATCACCAAATCCTCATAAAGCCATAAAACACCGTCCCTGGGTGTTATTAGAAAGCAAGAATTAAAAGTTGATCAAGATGGGACGAGCAGAATCTCAAGGGAGAATGGATTTCATCAGCAAATCCTTCTCCAGGCACCTCAGCGTGACAGGCGAGGCAGTGAGAAAATCAAAAGAGCGACTTCCTAAAGAGAAACATACAGCCAGCGTTCCCAGCAGGCATCTTCGGAAAAGCCCTCGGCAGGACAGAGTCAATCCTTTCCTGCCTCTTCCTGCTTTCCTGAAGCAAAGAGGAAAAAACACAGGGAAAGCAGAAGAGTACAATATTTTCATTACTGCTTATTTTTATCTTGCAGAACACATTTGTGTGTGCTGGAGGAAAGGTTTGCATTGCCTTGTCACAAAACCTCTGCAGTTGGGTATGGTAGTTGGCTGCCTCGGCTTAGGACAGGATTATTAAGGAGAGGAGACTGAGATGAGCTCTTAGGCAGAAGCTCTTCCCTGTGAGGGTGCTGAGGCGCTGGCACAGGGTGCCCAGAGAAGCTGTGGCTGCCCCATCCCTGGCAGTGTTCAAGGCCAGGTTGGACACAGGGGCTTGGAGCAAGCTGCTCTAGGGGAAGGTGTCCCTGCCCGTGGCAGGGGTTGGAACTGGATGAGCTTTAAGGTCCCTTCCAACCCAAACCAGTCTGGGATCCTATGAATATCAGACTAGAGAGCTCTCCAGGGACCCAGAGCTGGAACAGCAGCTGATGAACATCAGCAGAGGCAAAATTCAACTGCATTTCACTTCTGGTAATCCCATTTTGGATGCTGGAACTCAGTCATGGGGAATGAAAACATGAAGCATTTCTTCATTCCAAGACTGCTTGGATGCCAAAGCAACGCTTTGAAGCACTGGCCTGCACGTCCCACTTCTGGCGAATGCAACAGTTGAAGGGATGCAGACTAATGAGATTTTTCCTGCAGCTCCTTGCTGGTGGTGCTGGAAATCCTTGTATTCCCAGGCCTGGAGCACTAACGCTCCCTAAGACATCCACATGCATAAGAGGCAGGGACTTGCACAGGTCAGAGTTAAGAGCACTGCCTAGAGGGAGAGCTGGGCAAGAGCTGCACCCATCCTCAACTACCCCCTTCGTCCCCAGGGACCTCTCTCAGTTCCCTCTTAGCTGCTCAGGAGGCAGATGTATAAAAATGCCACCAAGAAAATGCAGCTCCCTCTTTGCTGCTCCTCCCACGTCCATTGCTGCCGTCCCCTCCACATCCACTTTGGAAACGAGCATTTCCACTGCTTATGAAATAACCCTTGGCGCTGATGGAGAGGGTCGGGATCAGCCCTCCAGGCCAGGCCTGCCCGGCACAGGCACCTGCCAATATGCTGCCTGTAATGAATGCAGCAGGGGAACGCGGTGTTTTAATGAAAGAAACCCCATTTCAAGCTTCTGAAGGGCTATTATAAGCTCTAGCACAATGAAACACAAGACATAAGCCTCTTCATATTTAATAATACATGTTATAGATTTTTTCCCTGTGGAGAAACTCCAATGAACACCTTTTTTGTTCAAATCTGTTATTGCAGGTTCTGATTATTCATTGAAAAGCTAAACCTTGAAGATCTGACCACATGATTTGCCAGAAAGTTCAGATTTCTGCACCAAAGCAGACACTTGCAAAGAGTTACAAACGTTTTGTAGAGCCATTGTTAGCACAAAACCAACTCTGACGGTAAGTTTTTAATTAGCCTGTCCAAATGTGTATGCAAATGTACAGAACTGCATTCCAAATGAAACTACTGACTCCCTAAAGCAAAAAGGCATCTACAATAGAAGCTACAGGAAAGCAGGAGTGTTCTGAACTTAGCATATAATAAAAGCAGATTCCTAAAGTCAGTTTATCTCATCCTGGCACGCCAAACTTGCCAGCCTCCCACACCACCACACTGTGCCACCCAAGCCACAGCTGCTGAAGGGGTGCCCCAAGCTTACTGGTACTGCTTTCTCCAAGAGAAGATACGCAGTTAATCTGATTCAAACATCTGTATCTTCCCAACTGATGCAACACGAGGGTATCGTGGTTTAAAACGTGTATTTATTCCCCTTTAAAATACGGGATCACCTCCGGAATACCGGCTACGCTGCATGTCTGATTGGGTTTTATTCCCCACATTGGAGCGGGCTGCGAGGGGAGGCAAAGCCTCAGAAAAGGGGGATTGAGATGCACAGAAGGAGGCAAAGAGAAAGAAAGCAGCTCAATTAATGGCCTGATCCCAGTGAGAACACAAGTATGAATGTGGTCCCTGAAGTTGCCGCCGCTGGTTGCAGCGAGGAGCCTGGTCGATAGATGCTAGCGATGGTGCGGGGAGGAAGGCAGGAGCCCTGCGCCGGGTGACAGCGGACAGGGCACAAGTCCCCAGATCACAATAAAGCAGCTTGAAGGTGACAGATTTCATTGTGGAAGGTGATAAAACTCCCCGTGGCGCGCTGCAAAACAAGGGCTGGAGCTCAGCCTGCAGAAAGGGAGGCAGTGCCCAGACAATGCAGGGGGAGGTTTCTCCTCCTCTCCTTGCCCTGGAAATCAGCAGAGAAGTGCCCGAGGTGGAGCTGCTGCTCGTGAACTGAACCTCAGTATTTCCACTTGTGCGGTGGAAGTGCAACGGGGCTGCACAGAGCAGGAGAAAGTAAAGGCTGTGCCTATGGAGACCCATCCAGAACAAGTCTGACCTTCACTGCCCTTCACTTGTGCCCTCTTTGCTTTGTGGAAGGGTTCAGTAAAGACAGGCGTCGTCTCTTCTGGTCTAGCAGAGGTTCAGGCCTGGACTCTGCCCCCAATTGGGCTGCTTGAAATGCAGGAAAGACTCAGCAGCAAAGATGCGAAAACAAGAGGAGAATCAAAGCCTGAGACTAAAGTAGCAATTAGACCAGCCTCGGAATACATTTCAGTCAAATCAATCCATACAAGGATTTCGGTCACGGTGCGCTCGTGCCCACACTGCTTCCTCCCTCCCTTCCTCTCCTGCAACCCAGCACTGCTGTCTGCTTCATCAGAATATGCAAGAAGTGCAGTGACAACACGTCTCCTAAGATGCTTTATCAGTTTTGCAAAGTCCCAGTTCATCCTCCTCCGTGGGTCTATTTACATATTGATGTATTTATTCCACTCTCTCCCAGGCATACCCCATGAGATTAAACTATTTTATTTACAAAGCCATTGGGGTTGCAGCTCTAACAATTGAGTCAGCTGAGCTAGAACTTTGCATGTGCTTTCAGATTGATGGGTGAACAGACAAATCGGCCTCGTCAGCGCTTCAGGAGCAGCCAGCGGGAGGACTGGTTAAACCCCATCTATATCACCCGGTCAATAGCTGCTGCATCTGGGGAAATGAATTGGGGTGTTGGGAGGCACAAATATGCAGAAGGGAAAGGTAATGAGCCAGCAGAAAGAGTGATGGATAAAACCTGGAGGAGAAACTTTGCCAACAGGACTCACCTTAGAAGGTCGGTGCTACAGAGTGGTTTGTGCTTCATAGGAACTTGCAGGCTCTTGGGAGCTGCCCCTGCTCCATCTCACCCATCAAAGTCACCTGTAAAAACAGAACAAAGCTGTTCCTCACTGAGGGGTACACCTGGAGGAAAAGGAGGGTGGGAGGAGGAGGGAGAAATACCTTGTGAGATCAAAGTCAGCAAAAGGTCATTTAAGAGAGGCAGACTGCAGCCCTGCACTGATGTGATGCTCCAGGAAAGGGTCCAAAGCCCTTTCCATGGAGAGCATTCCCCTGGGCAGGTCTCAGTGGAACAACTCTCATCCTCCTTCTCCCCATCAGCATCTCAACAGGCTGCATTTGTCAATGCTCTATTCTCCATACCCTATCCCTTCGCAGCTATGCTTGGTGGTACCTGTGAGGAGGAAACATCGAGGTGCCATCCCTACACCAGTATCATCTGCCATGTGCCGTGCTGTGGACACAGCACCATGGGGGAACAGCACACTGGGTTCTGCTTAAAGCCCCACAGCTCCTGCCCTGGCCCCCTGCAGCCATTACACCTAAACCTATTGTTGGCATTGGATCACAGCAGCTGTATTCCATAGGGACCAGCAACCGCCACCTCCAGGTGCACAAATCTGCAGCACGTGTTCCTGTTGGTTTCTCTGCCTCCCACCACACAAAATACGTCCACGAGAGCATTCCAGGCTCCCGCCAACACCAGAGCTGAAAAGTCACCTGCGTATTTAGCCCAGCATAAATCTGGCTGCTATTGCCTCTCGCTGATGGCAGCTCCTCCGGTGCCAGCATTCTTCTCAGCATCTCTGACATTTCAAAGTTCTATTTAGAGACCTGCATGGGAATTTAAGTTTGAAGTTTTGTACTGAGCACTGTTATATAAATACCCTGCACCACCTGCCTATGGGTCTATCAGTGCCTTTAACTGAAGGGGCAGAGGCAGCCCGAGGAGGGAGCACTAAACAGCACTCAAACCATCTCAACAGCCGGCACTTATCTCCCTTAATTCTCACCCTGCTCTTTTGCTATCGCCAGACTAATGAATCACAGGTACAAGCTCAAGCATTAATTGCAACAATGAATCATGGGGTTTGTTTGTGCCTGGCCATTTCCAGCCTATAGGAATGCAGCTACTCCCGTTACTTTTATAATTATTATGAGTACAAAGCCAGCAACACGTTCCACGTTTTGTAGGCATTAAAAAAAGACACGGTATTTGGCCCGAAGCATTAACAATCTGGTGCATATGCAGGGGAGTGATGAATGCGTCGCACTGACAGCCTGGAAATGTGTTTCCTGAATCGTTTTTGTGCAGGAAACTTTCTGAAGGTGTTAGGGAAAGCACAGGTTTTAGGAAGCCGCTGCCTCCAGCTCTCCTGGTCAACACGCTTCGGCAGGTCTCGGCCACTCATGGCTTGTTGGGACATCCAAGGCGCACGGTGCATCCACACTGCCCGGCCCATCTCTTCCCCACTGGAAAATTATATAGGATGGGGTGACTTTGGAGTGCAGATGGCTGGGAGGGAAGAGCTCTGTAACCTCTGTGCCTCCAGGCTCAGGCTCAGCTTGAGGGCACCGTGGAAACCTGCATGCAGAGGGATGCTGTGAACCTGTGACGGCAAGGCACGTGCTGGAGACTCCCGGGACAGCTCTTGGGTCTGACCCCAGTGAAGAGGCTATGGGCTCACAGGGCAGGCAGTCATTCCTCTAGAAGGGAATGTGGAGCCGTTCACCCCGGCGCTGGGTGAGCCAATAGCTCCTCCTAGCACAGGGATGGAAACACATCCCGAGGGACTGCACGAGGGGTAAGAGAAACTGCTGAGGGTGCTGTTGTGAGAGATGAGATTATGCAGGTATTAAATGAGTAACGCGCATGACGCGTCCTTCCCAGGCCAAAGCACCTGCATACACAATGTGTGGGCTCTGATGTGGGGCTGACAGGTTCAGGCAAATGGCTCAGGACTAATTTTCAGTGTCAGACTGGCAGAATGCAGGCCAGGCTTTTGATGCTGGCGAAGACAAAGACCAAGCAATGAAAACAGAGCTTTTCGGGGAGAAAACAAAGAGCTAAACAGCCATAAACCCCCAGTTTGTCATCCAGGCTCCAGGACCTGTTTCCTTTCTCTGCTAGCACCAAGGCTGGGGAGAAGTGGCTTGAAGGAGAGCTCAAGGTGAGCACCCATTATTTACTGCTGCTGATGAATAAGCAGTCCCCCACGTTGTGTTTTCCTGCAGGACAGCAAAAGCTCTGCACTGCTGAACAATCTGGTTCCTTGTCACTTTTTGCCCTCCTGGGGCGCTTTTTACATGGGTTTCCAGTGAAACGTGGTACCTCTATTACTTGTTCACAAACACATAAACCAGTGGCATTCTCCTCCGCCACCTCTGCAGTCCCAGCAGCTCAAACAGGGGAGAGCCGGGAAAGTCACCCTCCAAGGGAGAGGTTGGGAGAACAACGCAAAAAATAAGGATCCAAAAGGATTTGTGTGGGGGTTCAAATAAACACAAAGGACTTCTCTCTGCCAGTTTAAAAGCTTGGCTCCTTTGAACTTCCTAGGGAAGTGGGGAGCGCTGAGGAGAAAATGGCAGGCTCTGATCTGCCTGCTTTGCTCCATTATGGGAAAATCCACTCTTGTCTCCTCGTCCAAGGGCCTGAATTCCTCATCTCACACTGGGTTTGCACAGCAGCGTGAAATGTATCCCCAACACCGGCCTTCATCCCCACTTGACAACGCCAGAACAGCGAGGGCACTGAGACATGCATGCAATGGGAACGGGGATGGGGGTGGCCGCTCCCGTTCCAAGGCTGGACTCTGGTGCTCCATCCACCACATCCATGGGATTTCAAAGGCAAACCCAAGGCACGTATTTCCTCTTAGGTGCTCAGGGGTCCTGGTTTGCGAGCTGTCATCCCCGTGGGAAGCTCCCACCCCCCTTTCGACAAATGTTCCCCCTGCTGCCATTGAATCACCAAGTGATGGGGATACCACGGGGAGGGAGTGAACTGGTGGCTATCACACTGCTCTGCTCTGCTCACTTGTTTTAAATGACCATGAAAGCAAAGGGGGGTGTGGGTGTGTGTGTAGAAAACACACGTGGAAAGTTCACTGAGCTGCTGAAATGTCTTTAAAAGAACATTATGGGCTGGATTATGATGCTTCAGCTCCCACTCATGGCATCTGCTCACACGAGTGGGCATCTGATCAGGCACGTTGCCCAGGACCCTGTCTCTAAATCATCTGTATCTCTCACTGCAGATCTGGAGTTGAGGACAAGCAGATACCCGCTCTGCACACCTGACAGGGCATCTGGGGAGACTGAATGCTCCAGAAATGGCCAGGATGGCACCAGGCTGGAGGCACCTGGATCACTGAGGGCTACGAGGGGTTTGGCCTTGTTTCACAGCAGGGTTTGCTATTCCAAGGACGACAGCCAAGCCCAAGCCCAGCTGGGCTCTGGCACAGGAGGAAGAAGCTGTACCCCATCTGCCCTGGCTATCTGCTCTCCCAGGAGCTCCACTTCTGGGCAGGAGGAAGGGGGAGCCCGCTCTGCTCTTCACATGCAAAGGCCCCTCGGGCGCTGTGACAAAGTGGCCTTGGTGAGATGCTGTCTCAAGGTAGAGGTATGGGAAGAGCTTGCAGGGGGGCTGCAGAGCGCGAGGAGGAGATGTGGGCAGAAGAGCACATAACAGCAGCTGGTCTGGGAGAGGACAGTGACCCAGAGGGACGAGAATGCCACAGGAGCAGGAGGGAACTTCCCATGGAGGTGGTCAGCAAAACAAGACCCGAATGTGGGGAGAAGACCCTAGCAGGGAAGAGGGAGGAACTGCCCTGTGCGGCTGCAGCTTGAATCTAGGAGATAGGGAGCTGGGAAAAGGCAGGGAGCACAGTTCAGCACAGAGCAAGCCACCCACACCTGGGGGAGAAAGCAGGGCGGGCCCCTATGGGGAAAGGGGGCTCCATGGATCCGCTATGGGAGCCCAGGGATCTGACAGGGAACCTGCTGGACCTGCTGAGCAGCTGCACACGGGCTCACCTCAGAATGGAACAAAACCTGCCTCTGGCTTGTTACACCTCAATTTTATTAGGAGTCCAATATGCACTCAAGTAAATAAAGTGTGTTCCTCTCTATTCCGTCTTCTGCTAGACCTTATAATCTCCTAACCTGCAGGAAACGCTACCAAACCCCTGCAGGAAGGATCCCTGCATGTTTACGCCTAAGTTCCAAGTCCATAAGCGCAAATCCAGAGGCACGAGGGAGGAGGAGGAGTTGAGCATCTCTGCCCTGCTGTGTGTGTCCCTCTCACACTGGCTGGGCACTGCACAGGAGCAGCTTCCAGGACACCCCATCTCCTCCTGCCCCTATCCTCCGTGCCCTAGATGTTTTCTCAAATGCCTTCCAACCACAGGAGCTTTGAAACCCAGCGAGGTTTCAAGGCAGCAAGGGTGAGGTGGGGATACACATCCTATTTTGGCTGGGAAGATAACTAAAAGGGCAGTGAGGGATGGGAGTGGGGAATGGAGACCTTCCTCAGCACCTCTTGCTCCACTGGGTCTCACTAGGTCAGCATTCCCCGAATTGCTGTATCACCAGATGTGATTTGGCCTCTGATAGGACATGAATAAAGCCAATAAAATTCTTATTTATGGCTATAAAAACAATAAGGAAAAGCAGAGATGGGGGATAGGCGGCCCAAAGCTTCCCCTGGCTGCACTGAGCGGAGGGAGGCTCGTGCCTGTATGCCACGAGCAATAGGCTTGAAATGAAGCTGTAACTGCATACAATCAGATGCACTCCCCAGTTCCTGCCAAAAGGGACTCCTATTTGTCTTGCATGGGCACAGCTCCCCAGCCACAACCCTTCTTCTAATGACGACGGTTCTGCCTTCAGCCCTGCAGCAGAGAGCTCCTGTTACCGTGCTGAAGGCTGCCCTGCTTCCCTGTACCTCTCTCCCCAGAGGTACAAACACGCCTGATGCTCCAGGTCCTGGGTACCTGAAGACCAGGCTCTGCACACCACCAATATCCCTCCTGCTCTGCCCGGGGGTATTTGGCTGGAGCACGCTGAGCAGTTCTGAGATTTTGAGAGGCATTTCTGTAGAGAGATTTCCTACGCGGCTGCTGGCAGGGGAGCTGCCCTCATCCCGACCTGCAGCAGTGACACCACTCCTCTTAGGAAGCTCTGCAAAAGGTGCAGATCCCAGCATGCCAACCCCTCCCAAGGCCAGGAGGTAGTGGCTCTGAGTCTAGATTTAAAGGGTGAAAGGGATATTTATGAACAATTTCCTGGGTTTGCAACCCCCGTAACCTCATAAGCCCCTAAATGAGCCCCTGGGATACATCCGTTGGAGGTCCTGAGCAACCCATAAAATGTAAGGAGGGTGGTGTCTTTCTG